CCTGCATTTCGCGCACTCGACACGCACGATCTCCGCAGAGGGTTGCACTTTCGGTTGACGCTGTTCGTCCCGCCCTCCGCCTTTAAGAGAGAATTATTAAAGTGGGGAAATGTTTTTTCATTAGGACATCTCCCGTGCTAGTTTTCCATACTCACACTTGCCTACTCATTGCATGCTTGCATGCTCAAAGCATGCTTGCGTACCCATCACTTGTATACTTACTTACACTGCGTGCTTACCGCGTGTCAGTGTGTATGTGTAAGTGTCAATGTCGAAGTGTCAGTGTATGTAGTGCGACTGTAGTGGAAGTGTCAGTGTGTAAGTGTAAGTGTCGAAGTGTCAGTGTTCAAAGGATTTTCCGGAAGAACCCTTCGCAATGCTTTCGGGAAAAAATATACGTGATACGTGAAATGATGAGGTTTTTGCAGCGGTTGCTGAAAACCCTTCAGGAGGTCGGTGAATAATGAAAGAACAAAAGGTGAACAACATCTATATATAATTTGTTATTTTATATAATCCTTTTCATCAACATCTTAACGTTTGGATGTCTTTATGACGAACAAGGAGGAGTTCTGGAAACGACTGATCTTTTCTTGACCCATGGACCATGACTCTAGACCTGCCAGGTCTTCCCCCACATCTTTGGGAAGATGCTTTTTGAATGCATTTGGGGGACCCGGGGGGCAGGTGTGGGACATGCTCGTTTTGCAACCAAATCGCAGCAGACCTGAGGGTACCTTCATAAAAATGTGAGTAAGAAAGTCGTCTTGTTTATTTTCTGTGGCAACGACTGACTGCTTCAGTTTCAGAGTGTCCCCTGGTTCATTTCTCTCTGAAATGGGTCTATCTCAATCCAGGCATGCGGTCACCCAAGTCAACTCGCCAAGTCAACACGACTTGAGTTTCACCCCCTGACTCAGGTAGATCTCATAAGATGTCATCAGGAAAACCAACCACAGCCTTATGGCGGTGTGTTTACCCCAACCACAGCCTTCCACCTTCTGTTTTTTTTCCCACCGCTCCTTGTCATGTCTACGAATCGTCTCCCGAGACACAGCAAACTGCGCACAGCAGTAGGGGCCTTGTTCGTGTTGAGAACATGCGAGACTGAGACTTGGCATGCTGGATTTGGGTCATATCACTGGTTGGTGAGATGAGTTGGTGAATGCTGAAGCTGCAGGGCAGGTTGGTTGGAAGACCACTTTGTATCAGGCGCGGACTAAGGGAAAACAGGGCATGGCCAAAACTTGCCGGAAGCAGTGCAAACAATGCCAGGAACTTGGAGTCTCTTCAAACACGTTGCATTCCCCATGCGAAAAAACAAAAAAAACAGGCTGTCGATGGCTCAAGTGTATTTGGGAGGAGTGGAGCATTTCCAAAACGCAAATCCGGAAACTTGTCTAAAGATTAATGAACATTAGCAGTAGCATCTATCGGCCGGTGCGGTGATGTTCGGTACAACCTACTAAACCGCAAAGGAATGTGATCTTCCAATCTTCCCGTTGGGTGCGTGTGGGTCCTAGGTAGCTTAGGTAGCAGCCTGTGGATTGGACTGCTCAAAGACTTAATTCTCATTCAAGACCGCCACATATCGCCACCATGAGAGGAACGATGTCTATCTATCACAGAACACACTAGAACCCTGAGAGTCCAGTCATGACTCATGTTAACCCTATGGAATCTACATTTGGCACAGTCACCAAAATTATGCTCACCTGCAAACATGCCAATCACCACGGTAGAGACTCACGTGTAAAGAAGCTAGGGCAGCGTTCCGGCCGAGTTGGCATATCTGACACACGTGAGCCTCATGATGATTCACGTGAGCTTTATGTTTGCATGCAGCGAGGTGTTTTCAGATTTGAGGGAATGGCTCAAAGAACACCTGGTGAAGGATAGCCAAGGACGCCCCGGTGGTCGCCTAGATCACGCCATGGTATTACCAAGGCCGGGCGCCTCAATTCAGCCTCAATTGTTGTCCCGGGCGCCCAGGAGCTCTGTCAGATTTGCTTGGAAGATCTCCTGGTCACTGCAAAGCACCGCACCACCCGACATGCGGCCACCCAACATGGATGACATCTTTAGGATGCCTGGCTGTTGATATGTTGACTGTTGCGTCTATCATGGTCTATCCTAATGTTGATGGACTGTGCGACCTAAACAAAGGGGTCTTCCCAGCAAGTGTCCACAGCATAGCTTTATTTCTGACATGCATTATCGCCGATTCCCCAGAAGCGCGGAGGTTTGACCCATTGTCATTGGGAGACTTTTAGAATCTTTCAGTGGTAGTTGATTCCTTGAATATCTTCATCTCCTCGTGGACGGCTTGCAAGCAGGGCGTCAATGTCCGCACATGACGGGGTCCATTCCTGCAGTTCGGCTAGCTTCCCCAGTGGCAGCAGTGCCATCGTACAAGTGGCTGCAGTCAAAGCTGCTTTTGAAAAGAACGTGGGTTTTAATAACAGAAAGGAACGCTGTGGGGGGCCTGCGTTTTCAAGTGTTTCTAAAAAGCTATTGTTTTGAATAAAATGCCTTTACTTCTTTTCTTATATATTTTAATTTGTTATATATTAAAAATAAAGTATTTGTGAAACAATAACCAAAGCTTATGTGCCACACAATGTAGGCAAGGAACAAGGACCTCTCAATCTGAAGGTGGAAGAGAGGGATCTCTGGGGGGGGGAAGCAAAAAAAAACATAAAGAGCATTTGGCAAAGGCTGGGAGGGGGGGTCGACATTTTCCTTTTTGCGACCCCCCCCTCCAGATCCACATTAGGAGCCTCTGCAAAAGACTAGGAGGGAGGATTGAGGGGGAACGGTCGACCCTCGCCCTCCAGATTAGTATCCTTTGGCAAAGGCTGAGAGGGAGGGTCTACCAAAAGAAAACAAAAGTGGGTCGACCCCCTCCTCCAGATTAGGATTCTTTGGCAAAGGCTGGCAAGTCTAGTAGAGCAAAGTGATAAAAGCATTTTTTTTTCATGTTGAAACTAATTTTCACAATGTTTGAAATGTATACAACTGACTTTAAACTGAAGCATGCTGGTATTACAGTATAGTGTGTTACGATTGATGTGTTCACCATCAAAGCTGAAGATCAAAAGAACCCAAGTGAGTGGCTTTTATCAATAAGATTGGAGAGTGAGCAAGTATGTGGATATTAAATTACCTAATTCACTTCACCAAGTTGTAGAAAATCAAACTGTAGAAATGTCAACATCTAAAGATAGATACATTGAAAATGATGAGTATGATACTGATACTGATGATATTGTTAGTGACATTGAGAAAGTAAACCAGGTAATGATTAGGATATTACTTGCAGGAGCAAGCAAACGTCGTATCTGCCAGAAAATGGTTGATAATGGTTGCACAATATTATTTGTATGGCCTACTAATAGGTTATCACATTACTTTAAAGTTGATACCAGAAAGATCAATAACAATAATTTTGGTCAAAGTTTAGCTTAGCTGCTTCACTACTCTTAGCATCAATTATGTTGTTCTTGAAGCTGGAACATGTGCTGCAAGACCAGCTGTTTCACTACAGACTTCATATCCTTTGTGTAACATGCCCAAATATAGTAAAAACACACACAAAAACACTGAACAACACGGGCCCTCACAGCGTTCCTCTCTCTTTAATAAAGGGTGTCCCATCAATCGGAAATCTGATGCACTGATGCACTTCCAACTTGAAGACTATATGTTCACATCCAAGCCCTTCTCAACCCAGTAACAGCGGGAGGAAGGACGTGTTGTAGGTGCCCGCCGCAATACTCCTGCAGCACGACACATCGTAGGCAAAACCACTGGCCCTCGCATGGTCGCTCAGTATATCACCGAACACACAGCCTCAGCCCCAAGTAGTACTGCCAAGTAGCTTCTTGTTACTAGTAGCGATGCCATGAGAGCGAACACAGGCGTCTCAAAGCCGCAAAGCCCTCCGAGATGGACCACTACACCTCATCCAATCATGTGCTTCTGGATGACCTGATGACCAAAACGGCCGACAAGGGATGATCCCTGTGTTGTTTTGCAAGGAAGAAAGGTCGGAACAATACCTCACGTATTGAGGACAGTCTGGGCGAGCAACCCCCATCAATCCATCTCCACCCAAATTCATCACCAACAGGGCCGATTGGGACCCTGCACTGAACAACTGTCATGTATCATCATGCTCGCAGGAATTCAGGTGACCAGTGATTACTTTGCATGAAAATGAATCACTGATCATCACTTCACCTTTGGTCCAATTTTGTACATTCTTGACACGTTCTATACTACCTTCAAAAACAAACAACTCCTGGCCAAAAGCGGAGTGCTCCGCACTACAAAAGCCTGGTGTGAAAAAAAAAACTATATACAGAAGAATCCGCTTCTTGCGCCACAAATTCGTTCAGGCTTTCAAACACCACTCCGACACTGGTTGCTTGACCTCTTCCCCCCCAAAGAAAAATTGCATGGGCCCCGGCGAGACCTGGCGTCTCTGCAAATGTCCGGCGGTCCTTAGGACCAGATCCAGAAACTCGAAGTGAAGATGATCCATCGGATCACTTTGCAAGAAGATCCTCAGATTGAGCCGAGTCGAGTCGATGCTTCCGGATCAACGCTCGGCCGAGTCGCAAACACCTGGCGAAATCCTCTTCTGAGAACGGGTTCGAACCCGGTGGGAGATAGATCGAAGGGATGGCAGTGGAGGCAGTGAAGGGACCAAAAGCAGTTTGCCAGTTCCAAGAATGGGCACTCAACACCATTCATTTGACACCCAGGGCGCCATCGCCGGCTTCGCCCGCCCCCATGGGTCCTAACAAAAAGCACTGGACATGACACGCGGGGAATTTGGATGAACAAACATGTGGCATGTGGAATGGCCCCGACGTGCCAAGGAATGTTCACTTGTAGATGAGGCTGATCCTGGGGCAGGAACCACGGAGGCTGATCCTGTGCTTTTGATATGTGCATTTCTCTCACCATGCTCTTTGACAGCTCTTTGTCCACACTAGGCCAATATAAACACGCAGTTGTGTTAAGATCCTGGGCATTACAGGAGGTTGAAAGTCTAGAAGTTCCAACATGTCGCAAAGAAATCTAATCCAATCTGGCCATATCTGGCCAAACCAATCTGAATCCTTGCTTCCACACCTGTTCCAGCCATGATTCTACGTCATTTCTCTCTCTCACACTGCTCCCCTTACTCCTCCTCCGCCGGAGCACGTCTGGTCCGCCAGCCGGTCGTAATGGCCCAGGATGTGGGTCAAATAGGCCGAACATTCATCACCCCGCGCAGCACCTGGTCCGGCGCCCGACGGGTCAAGTAGGTGGTCCTCATGGTGCTTTCAAAGTGTCGGAGCTCCGCTCTGGCCGTCCGGAATGACGGAATCACTGAAAAGGTCGCTCTTGAGCGGCCCAGGGTATGCTAGGGCCCAAAACAAAAAGAACTTGAGCCACATCTTCCACATGCTCCATCACGACCGGCACACCGCCACGACCACAGCCAAAACGACGACCGCCGTGGTACGGCCTATGTCGGCTCGCTCGATCTGGTGGATGGCCTCGCAGAAATGGCATCGGCTGGGTATGGGGTCGGTGGGTATGGGGTCGGTCGCACATGTCCAAAAACTTCTCACTTTGCAGGGGTCCAGAACCTCACCCTGGGAAGAGAAGTCTGTCGCATGACCTTTTTGGCCCAAGTAGTACATAGTAGTACTATAACTACTACTAGCTTCGCGATCCTAGTAGCGATGCTCTTTGTTCCTAGTATAGCTTCTTGTTACTAGTAGCGATGGCCTCCAACCTACTTGCGATGGCCTCTACCTAATAGCGTCCTAATTGAACGCTTGTGGAAACTCCTCATCATTTGGGTTTCATCGCAATCGACGATCGCTTTCTTGCTCGACATCGCTTGCAATCGACGCCTGAAAATGCCCGGCGGGCAGCTTTTGTGCCAGTTCTTCTGGTGCAATTGCTTGGCCGCATTTCTCGTAGACCAGGAGCCTCCGGTTGCGTAAAAAATTATTGTGGAGCAAGCTGGAGTGGTTTTCAGGCATGCCGGTATGCCGTCTACCTAAACCCAACTGTGGGTGTGTATCAAAATAGGGAAACCTCCCAGTTCGACCCCCCGGAAGAAGGGAAATAGACCAGTCTACCCCACTGGTTGGAGGTCTCCCCAGCACTAAGTGCACACCCATATATTCCCCTAGGGCTCCACTTGTACATCGTCACTATTCAAACACCCTTCCAAACACCAAAACGAAACGGAGCACACGGGGCCTTTGGGATGGAAGGTCGTTATTTGTACATGATTGTGCCACCATTCAATCATGGGTCTATCCGACTATACCAGCAAAGGTATTGTTCAAATGGTTTACTGATTGATATACACCCTAGAAGTCCAAAGACTATTTTTTGACCAACTGAAGTAAAGCATATTCCTTTTCGGGTCACCTAAAGGCCATTCTTTTGATAGTCTTTGACTCCCAGGGTACAGGTAATAGAACAGACCCAAATTCAATCCATTATAACTGCTGGGCTTTCATCGGAACAATGGGTCCTTTGGACCCTCCTGCGTTCTGAAAAACCTTCATCGGAGAGCCGGCATGGAGCGAGCACATCGCACTCATCGGATGTTTCAATGGAGCCAGTCCATGCCGTCTTCGCCCACATCTTGATGTCCGAAAAATCTTTGGATACGCTGTTGAGGGAGACTCCTCCGCATTCTTGTGAAATCCGCTGTTCTGACCCCGACTTTCTTTGTAAAAAACATGCTATAGGCCACCTCCGCGATCACCGCCTTCGCCTTGCCGCGTAGACCGCGTTTCGCGTCGCTTTTCCTCCCGTGCAGATCTCCGGTCGGCCTGGCCCCAGGGGGCACGCGGGTGAGGCGCTTGCTTAACCAAGCGAGATCTTCTCGACAGTGAGCCACCACGAAGTCGACCCTCGCAGGTGGAGCCGGTGGAAAAGCTGGGCGAAGGAGCGAAGCTGGTGAAGTTCTAAAGTCCATGAAGCTGGTGAGGCTGGCAGTGTTACAGTGAGTGGTGACAGTACTATACTTCTGCAGGTGCAGTACTGGCAAGAGTAGATGACCTAAATCGTAAAGAGTCGAATCAAAACACATCAATGGTTCCGCAGTTGTCTCCCACAAAATCAGTTGGGCTTCAAGATTCATTCAATGCCAATACATCATGCAAACACATCACTGACTTATGATGTGTGTGTGCGTGCTCGTCGGACGCAAAGCAGCAGCAGTGACGCCATATAATATATGAACATCAGTCATCAGTGGCGGGCGGAACATCAGTGCCCTCCAAATCGGTCTCAACCTAATGTAGACGCTTGACAACCATCACCCTCCCAGTAGTGAAGAGGATGTTGCACTTCACATGAGGGTGGTTATGGTCCTCAAGAGTCTACATGAGCTGCCTCTGTCGCCTTCCCTCTCCCGCGTCCTGCCCACCACGTCGAGTCCCGTGCAAGCCGTGTGGAACGTGAGACCTGGCGGACGCCGAGCGCTCCGCGCGTCGCGCGTCGTGCTCTGCACGGGATCGCCGTGCGTCCGGTCGACGGCAGCTCTTCCCAAAGGTGGTCACCGAGCGCCGTGGGCGAAGGCTCGTAAAGGATTGGGATATGTTTTTCTTCAAGGGGGGCGGGCTAAAGAGGTTGATGGGTGGCGGTTGATAAGTGCAGCCCGCAAAGTGCCAGAAGAAATCGAAAGAATTTGAGGGGTTCGATTGACATCTGGTGAATGAATCCTATACGAAGCACATGTCTTTTCTGGTGGCAAGGTTGCTGTTCAAATTGCTTGCACTTGGCAGATCAAAGGGCCAAAGCTCTACTGCGTGGTGGTGTCTTACGCAAGTGGCTCTTTTATCACATGGAGTGTTTCATGTCGTAAACGACAGTGGCAACAGTACTTTCCGGATTGCCCAACCCCTGAAACTGACGTTGGAAACCCAATGGCCAAAAAGGAAATTAATAGTACATCTATGCATGGTGGGAGTTGACCACATGTTGTGAGTTCCCATGTCCTCATTTCCTCATTTTCTTGAACCACAACCACATCTCAACGTCTCCGCCATATCTACCTCACCTCGCCCCGCGCCCCTTGGCCCCTCAGCCGCCCCGGCCTTCGATCTCAGTGCTGCACGAGGACCACCGTCCGAAGACATCCATCGCCTGCCCCACGGCGTCGCCCACGGCGTCCTCCGCCGCCTGACTTCGGGCGGAGTTCGGGCGGAAGGAGGGGCGATGAAGGCGGAACGAGTTCCCGCAAGGAAGGTGCGGACCGAGACGACCCCAGCTCGAGCTTCACGGCGAGCTGTTTGGGACCAGACACCGGCCTCGCAATTGGAAGGCTCCAACTCTCCACGGGTGCTGGTTTGTAGTGAACACTTGGGGCAAAAGCAAATTGATGTGGCGTGAATATCCAATGCAATTTGCCAGGTCCCAACTTGCCAGAAGTGCAGCCTGCTGCAGCGTGGTAGGCTGCAAAGGAAAACCAAACACACAGCATCCAGGGGAGTCACGTCAGAGATTGAAAGGGGACCACACAAATTGGAGGGGTTGCGGAGCAAATGGACATGTCCTGGTGTCTTCAGTTCATTTGGGTCAAGTATCAGTGTGCTTAGCAGCACCGAGCCGCTATGTTAGCTGTTGTTTTTTCATATGGTGGCACAAATCACTTTAGTTGCATAATGGGGACCCAGCACTTCAACTGTTTTCTTTACGTTGACCACATGACATGGGATAAGCAACCAAAGAGATGCTGTCTGGGCACCCGTGGAAAGCCAGGAAGTACCCGTTGGATCCAACGTCTTCATTCAAATGTCGTTTGTGCATTGTAGAAAGAAGACAAGTGGTGGAGGGAAGTGATGGGAACCTGGAGCATGGCCACTACATCTCCCACCTGGATGCGCTTGATCGCGATGTGCAGTGGCCATGCCGGTGGCTTGGCCGCCATCAAGTGCCTGGGAGGCTCATGTCAGCTGGGCCACTGCAACATCCGTCCTCTCCCCAGCCACTGATGGATTCATCAAGAAGCTCACTCCAGCGGTCACATCGAGTTGTGTGGTTCAAAGCAACAAAAACATCTAGTGAGTGGATGTGAATGGCATTCCAACTTCCTCCAAGAACGGCACCCCTTCATGTAACGGCCGGATCCTCCATGGAACTGCTCTTCATCTGGATGGTCCTCACCCCAAAAAGGTCCACATGATGGGTGCGTACAGCATGATACCATGGTACAGCACGGGTCAAAAAGGGACCTCCACTCACCAAAGTCAAACGGTGGGATAGATTGGAGGTGGTTTAGAAGGGAAGGAGTTTTTTTCATCTCAAAAAATCTCGATTAAAAAAAAATATGCAAAAAAATGCAAATAAATGCAAATAAATGCAATATAATGCAGAAATATGCGATACTATGCAAGACCTTAGAACATACACATCGTACCATACTCGTCAGACATACGTTGGGAATCGTTGGAGGCACCCGTGGGCTTTGTCGACATTTTTCGGCCATAACCATGTGCATAGAATCCAATGCAATGAAGTCAGTGGCATGGGTCCAGGATCCACACAAAAAAGGTTGCTTATGTTAGGTTTCTTTCCAGGTAAATAATCCCCAGAGTTTACAAAACTCCTGGTATTTTGCGGCTAACTCTAAAAGCTGGGTTCCCGAAAGTAACCAAGTGGTAATCGAATAACAGCAGCAATTAATGACAATAGTCTTAGTCAGTCAGCTGTTTTCATGTCATATCAGTTGTTATCAGTTGTTTGTGGAGTGACTGATGGTTTCCCCTGTCATGTCTTGATTGTATCAGTCTTATTATTGTCAGTTGTTCATCGCTGCCGGCCGGCTTATGTTGGTTTCTTCGTGGTCTACGACCTGCTGTTTTGTTTTGTTGGGGGCTTAGTTCTGATATCTGTCAGTTGAATGGGCAACACCTAAATGTTGAATAGCATGTTTAGAATGCTCATGGACAATTGATGCGATGTTGAATGGACTTTTTGAATGGGCAGTTGATTTATGACGCGCATTCTTCTATGTCCTGAGGCGGGACCTTTGCTGGCTGCCCTGAAGTGCACGTCAAGGTCAGGATGGGCTTGTCTTTGAGTCAGTCTGTCAGTTGTTGGTCATTCATTGAAGATCAAGTGGTTTAGATAGGCTTGTTTCTATGCTTGTTTCACTGTTTGTTTTTTGTGTTTGGTCAGCGCACAGTGCGAGATTGCATGACATGATTGATGCCTGCAATTTTTGAGCGTCACTGCGATGGAGGCATGCCACAAGCCAAGATAACATGTTCTCGGGTCAATAAAGTATTAGCTGGCCTCCAGATCCAGAAGCCTCGAAGACTCTACATTGAATTAACATGGCAGCAAGATTTTAAACTGCAAATTAATTACAGTAAGAAAACTTGAAGTGTTCACTTTTACATCACTGAGACCATGACACTGAGACCATCAAGAGGCATTAACCATTATTAGTAGCACTCAATTCAACTACAATTTAGCATTCAATTCAGGTGTAACTGACACATCCAATTCATTCGATTGCCATTGAATGGAGCGATCGGTTGCTGTGTCCATCCTGAAGTGGGAAGGGCTTGAGAAGATCAGCAAGTGTCTTGGCTTGAAATCAAAGTACCAAACATTCACCTGTAACTGTAAATGCTGACAGGACAGCAGCAAACATTGTGTGACATGAACTTGTGTGTGAGCCAGTGCAAGTATCTAATTAATCACATATGATGTGTATCATCATTGTCAACTTGTTCAGCTTTTGTTTCACCATAAATGATGCCTTTGACTGGCAGTGTTTTGGTTTAAAAAGTCCAACGCCATTGTCCGCCAGGAAAGCGCAACAAGTGGCTTGGAGAAAATCAAATGGAGGGGTGAAACAGTGACTCTGAGCCTATGAAGTTCACGGAGGGTTCCCCGTTTTGTCTGCACACCCATGAGACAAACAAAAAGCAGTAGTCCAGCTGGACATAGTACACTCATCATTTCATGAGTTGAGGCATTGTACTTGCTTTGGAAGCTGGACAAATCCAAAGCAGTGGAGCTCTGGTGGCATGGCTGATGAATTTGAATCATTTGTCAGGCGATCTATCTTGTCAGCTGTTGTCAGTTGTTGTCACTTGAAACCAGCAGATAAAGTAAATGAATGAAGCTAACACAGTTACATGTAAAACTGTTTAAACAGGGTTGACATGAAAGTCTATCTATATATGGTTTAGCAAACCGTTGAGGAAGGCTAGTGCGCAAACCACTGTCAAAGTGCGCGTCAAACTCAAGTAAACCCGTTGGTTTTTGGATGGCACTGTAAGGAAATTTGTGCTGGAGAAGTTGGAGACAGATCCACAGTACTTCAAGAACGTCAACGGCTGGATCTTGAAATCTTGCAAGTCCGAGATTGAATTGCAACTTGGAATGGTTAAGCATCTGCACCTACTAACACCTTGTCAAAAGGAAGTTGCGAACAAAGTGGAATCCACAGTCGGGCTAGGTTGCCTTTACTTTCTTCATAGTTGAAGTGACGTTGTAACATGATGGTATCCTTATATTCAACCAGTCAAGTTTCGTCCATTCAGATTCAGGGACAACCTTTGCCTCGGCTTCACTGGGGATGGCGACTTCGGCGGCAGACGTCGTTGCAGCGGCAGCGGGAGCAGAATCTTGGTGTTCAGTTCATACGTCGTCGGCTGTTCGTGTCAGACTATTGGAGTGCTGTTACATGTTTGTGCGCGGCTTGTTTTGGCTGTTGGTGCCACCTAAACTCAGATGGCAGTAACTCAGATTGGTCAGTAATTAACTCAGATTTGGTTGGAATCAAGTTTGCTAAGCTGGAATCAAGTTAGATCATTAACTCAGTTTGGAATCAAGTTGGCAGTAACTCAGATTGGTCAGCTGTATTCAGCTGTTGGGTTCAGGGGTTGGATCACATGGGGACGATGACTGAGGTGAATGGAAATGAAATTGGCTTCGTTCCATTGAGATCGGGCCATTGGTGTCAATGGCCAGGAAGGGTGGTGATCCTTGGAGTGCCGAAGGAGTCCTGGATCACTTCAACCCGGTGGAGCTCGATTTCATCGGTGCAACATGACCTGTTGGTCTTGCTTCCGTGCCTTTGCCTGGGGTTCAACAGCTCTGTAAACATTTTGAAGTTTGTTGTTTGGCCAAGCATTGGCTCCAATGTTTATTTAGTTCACCAAAGTTAAAGTGGCGCAAGGTTCCAACATTGCCATGACATGATGTGTGAACTCAGTGAACTCAGGAACTATGATAGCAAGGGCGGCAAGAAGGGCAAGGGAAAGCACAAGAAGGGCAAGGGAAAGGACACTGGCGGTGACTATCCAAAGTCATCTGGCTTTACCCAGGTGACTCAGGCATCAGAAGCTTGGTTGCCTTTAGCCAAAGTAGAATTGCAACCTTTGCCCTTCTTGTTACTCTGAGGGTTCTTAATGATTGTTTATCTATTTGTTTCCGGTTATATGAGGAGTTGAACTTAAGCGACAGTTGTGCTGTGACAACCTTGTGGCCTGAGGTGTACAAGCATTCGAACATGTCGTATGCACTGAACAAAATCTTGGAGAAGCCAGCCAACCTGATTCGGAGCCTTGGCGATGATCAGTCAACCTCTATATAGGAATTGAGTCCAAAGTCAGGTTAGATTTTAGTGACTGTGTCGTCCTGCTTGGGTCAAGATAATTCATTCGTCTCAGATTGATATACTCTTTGCCAAATAGATAAATATGTTCGAGAGTTGAACGAAGTGAGAAACTCACCACCTCCAACCTCCTGCGTCTCAGGATTTCATGCCTCAGTGGGTGGCATCGGACAGGTGCAGTCTGCGCTTTGCTGTGGGGCCTGTTGACGGAATCTTGGAACTGATGAGGAACATTGTTTCAACCATGTTTGAGACGAGTAGGCTTAATTTAGTGGGGTTTGGATTGTATTCTTGTTACTTGATATGTATGCCGCGCCTAGACTGGCTGCCCTCCAATCCTGTTGTCTAAGTTGTTGTGTTGTCTAATAAGTTGCAAGTGTCCGTTAGGTGTGAAAGTGATAGGTTTGCTGATATTCTCCCAGCGTGGGCCCAGGCTTGTGGCATCGATGTCCTTGTGGTGATGGAGAAGCTGTCCAGCAAGGCCAATGAGGATGCCAGGACGGCTGAGGCTTTCCTCAATGAGGAGATCTCGAGGAAGCTTGGGTTCAACAATGTCAAGGTTTAAGTTTTGGCATTTTGTCATATTGATGTCGCTGCTAACGCAGTTTTCTTTTGTTATTGTTGTAGCAGACTGCCTTAATTAAGGACAGATGCTTTGGTGAGAATCCTTCGAAACCACAGCATGGATGTGGACAGATTTGTTGAGATGGCAAACCAAGCAGTCACCACCTATCTGGAGCTGATGCCTCAAGAAGATCATGAGTGGACCTTTGGCTCAAAAGGTTAACATGTTGTTTCATTTGACTCTGGCTTGTAGGATTCGATTAGCGCAGGGTTTTCATTGACTATGCTATTCGCGGGAGTGAATCTTTTGAACTTAATCTCTCACGATGGTTAAATGTGGACATGTGACTGAATGACCGCCGACCGCCCAGGAAAGCTACATTGAGCACCTTTGCCTGCGCACCGGCCGTGTCGGACCCCGCGAGCCACAGCTGGAGTGTTCGTGCTCCCAATGCACCGCCTGGACCAGTCCATGCATTTCCACCGGCGCCGCCTTTGAAGAAGGTGACTTGTCACTGGGATGGCTTTTGTCGAGTCACAAACATGTGTGTTGTTTGAAACGTAAGTCAAACCGGGTTTGAACAGTTAAGGAAATGTTGTACTGAAGGTCTCATGAAATGAATGAAGTTTTGGTGGACTCATGATTCAGGTTTCAGTGCAAACACTTGCCCATGAGTCATGATATCATACGATGTACTCATCCTTGAGTCGCACTCACACTGGACAAAACACTAACTG